GATCAAGGCAAGAGGTCCCTGTAAGTACCAAGCTAGATGAACAAATGAATGTAACGGAGCGTAGTTTAGGCAAAAAAACGTTTCATCAGCCAGTTGACTGAAGAAGTAAAATGCGCTGGGATTCGCTAGGAGGACGGAGAAACAAATAGACCAAGAAGATCAGGGATGAAATAAAAACAGAAGAAATATGGTAATGCATTGGTAAGATGCAGAAGTTAAAGTTGGTGCCCTAAGTTGCCTGCTATTCATAAGTCTCCAATTTGAGGTCGCGGAAATGAATAAGACGGGCGGAGGGAAAATGGCACCCCTACCACGACTTTCGGCGGCACAAAAAGAACATTTGATGCGATTCAGGAGAAGCCTCAAATCACTGGTGTCAATGGTCAATATTGCTCTGAAGCAGAAGCTCTATGAGAAGAAGCACAGGCTTGCTGACCTACAGATCGAGTATTGGACAAAAAGGATTGATCGATTGGATAAATTTTTGCTCATTATTGCTAAAATGATTCTCTTGTACGGTGCTATATGTACGATCCTTGATTTACAAAGTTGTACGGTTTTTCTGTGTAATGATTCCCTTGATACTCAATTTGACTTGCCTTGAAGATACGTTGTACTTGTTTTTATGAAATTGTTTATGTATGTAGCCATCAAAAGGCGAATAACAATTTGAAGATCATAAAAGTTAATGATGTGGTGGAAGCTCTCGTAATATGCACATAGAAAGCACACAAGAAATTTGTGTAATATGGTAATACAGACAAGAACTAAGGTAATGTACACGGAGTATACAGTGGGAGGCACACTTAATGGCTGATATGTACAGCGACGAAAGAGGAGAACATAATTTTGTGTTGGGGATCCTCGCCAGGAGCACCTTCGGAACCATAAATAAATTTTGCGGTTACAATGTGCTATCCATGTCTTTGATTCCAACTTCAAAAGCTGGTTATACATTCAAACTTTCGAAGCAATAAGTGGTTAAAAAGGATACCTGCTGCAAACCCCTCAGCTTTCTTTTTAAGTATGGTAATAGGATGCAATACTGCTCAATAACCAATTAAAATAGTCATACCATGAAGGTAACGTGGGCTTATGTCTCGCATAAAAGCTAGAGCATCCCTATCGGAAATGTCAGTTGATGGCTCGTAAGGAACCTCACCATCCTGCCGATCTTCCCCTGTGTACTCATCATAGTCGATAGGTTCTCTGGCATCTGTCGCTATGTTGCGGAGCACACAGCACGCTACCACTATTTGAGCAGCCTTATCGGGAGATTACCTTCAAACAACTGACCACGAAGACCCCCATAACGAACAACGAATCAGCTGATTTCACCTGCATCCTCCATGTAAAATATGAAATTGTCTCTTCAGTACTGCAAATGCTCGCTCGACTTGGCGCGTGCGGCACGCACGCCTCTGCTATACCGCTGCTCTGTAGAAAAAAAAAGCCTGCGAAAAATAACGATTACATGAACAATTAATAAATACCTTGACGGGAACCCGGAAAGTTCAAGATATCTCCCGCCGGCATACGGAGTCCCCAGAGAACTCCCTGCAGCTCTTCAACTCTCTATTAACCTGCTTTACACAAGCTGACGTTCATTGGACACCGGGAGTCGCTGCGCCGACACGTGGCCAGTTCTCAACATTACCCATCTCACTTTCAGGTCGAAATCTACCACGACGCCCACATTGAGACTATATTATCCCTTCCTACATACGTAGTCTTCTTCTCCTTCCGCGGTCGCTGAATTCGACAGTGGGTGCCATCGATGACGCCAGTCACTCCCGGTACGCCAAAGCGGCGGTAGAACTGACGCCTGATTCTGGCCTTCTCCACTTCGGCTCGGCCTATGTACTGAGCTGCCCTTCTATTTAAAGCCCGCACAAAGGTGAACAGCACCCGAGACACGGTGCTTTGATGACAACCTGCAATTCTTGCGGAATCGCTTTGCATCACATTTCTGCCTAGCAAATGAATACCAATGGCCTTTTGATCAGCCACTGTTGTGTCTATCCCCCTTCCCCCTTCCCTGCCGCTCAAGTTCGCCCTTCATCACTACAAATATCGAAGAACACATCGCGAGTGAAACGTTAATCCTTGCGGAAATCTACGTCGCTCAAGTTCGTCGCATGGGCACGTTCGGTCTCGAAATGTGCGATGAACAGACACTTCCGCTTATCTCTCAACCACATCAAGCCTATCAAGAAGCTCCAGAAAAAAACCTTGTCACCTATTTATACTACATAGCTTGCCAAAACCTCTAGCTTAAAAAGTTCGAAATCTCGAGCAGAAAACTAAAACACTTTGCAATTTTTCGGAAGAAAAACTGAATTGTAGAAAGACTGTAATGTGATGGAAGCCTACCCATCACTAAAACAGCAAAAAGTGGTCAGCAGACGAACGAATCCAACGAAAAAAGCAATATGAAACAATTTCGTCATGTTCAGTAATGAAACGAAGTGTAAAAATAACTCACGTAGAGCTGCAGGCCAAAAAGCGGTCAGCAGACGAACGACTCCAACGAAAAAAGAACTATAAAACAATTTCGTCATCATCAGCAATGAAACGAGATGTAGAAATTACTCACGTAGAGCTGCAGGAGTGACGATAAAAACGATAAATAGGTAAAAAAATTCTCAGCAACAGTTGTACGATATAGAAATCACAGTAATTTGAAGAATGAAGAAGGAACATCAACTGAACTGACTTCCCCATCGATTGCTACCCCGTTTCATGATCTATTTTTACCGATACAGACACGTTTTTCTTTGCCGAAAGAGAATGGCACATGTAAATGTGCCATTCCCAATCTTCAAATAAGAATTATACGTTCTCTCCGACCTTTTCACCTGCTTCACTGCGCCACTCGCACAACCTTCCTAAACGCTCTTACATTTTATGTGCTTTTGTGCTTCTGGGTTACTTCAAAACATCTTCGACATTGTTTATTGTTTACGCATTTCCAACAAGTCCAATAATACACAAGAAACTAGAGCAAAATAAGATCACTCGCATCCGACAGCAATGGAGCACTATTTCACACCGAAGTAGTTGATGCACTTTCAACGACACTCCTGTAATATTCAACCTTATTTTGGTTCTACACATAAGGAATAAGAAAAATACTCAACGTCAACAAATGCGTCACATCAAAAATCAATCGTTATCAAAAAAGGAGTGAATACTTACCCAAATACTCGAAGCTTTCCGATTTCCTTCCGGTGACCGCATAACAAAAAGGCGGGTATTCTCCTGAAACTGCACTCTAAGTACAACAAACAAGTGGAAGGGGATACAGTTCTAAAGTCATAATCACTGATGATCATGCAAAGTACACTAAAAAGTTATCGTTGCGTGTTGCTTTTTTTTCAAATTTGTCCTTCCTCTATACTTTAACACATATATTGTTAATTTTGGGTGGAACGCGACACAAACATTGAAACAGTAGGTTAGAAAGGAATGAATGCCACTCATAGAAACATGTAAACAAGTAGAGAATAGCAAACATACGAGAACGGAGAGATTCGCCATCGCAAAACATTTCCAATTATATGACTTCATTGCATTTTTCAAACAAAAAAAACCACAACAGTGAGTTATAAATAGTATAGTATAGTATATAGTAGTATATAAATAGTAATAATAGTAATAGAATTTTTAACTTCTAATGAGCTGATGTTTCATTCCGAAGATAATAACGTGGCTCTTGATTGTTGACGTTTAACAACTTTCAACCCTTTTTATTAATTCAACAAGGGTTAAACCTTATCCAAACAAACGTATCATTCCCTTTGTGTCACTAACCAGTGCAAAAGTTGAGCTTAGTGAAACTTCACTTAGAATCACGCCACATTAACGTGCATAGAAAAAAGATTGCCCGCACTGGAAAATTCCCATAACTGAAACGACATGATTACTGAAGAGAAGGAAATGGCCAAAGAAAATATACGCTTAGAATCCCACCTGATTTTAGCGGGAGACAGTTCCCAAACGAATAAAAGTTTACATGAATTAGGAGCGAAATCACAGGAACATTTCAAGCACCTACATCGTCCAGCACCATCACATCGTCTTCGTCTTCGACTACAGGCTTCTGTTCCACCTGGTCAGCCTCAGCGTCCGTCTCGACATCAGCCTTGACCGATGACCGAACTGATAAAGGATTTCACTGAAAACATAAATTACAACTATGAAACTGACCCTGAGTAGATATACAGGATGGTTACAAGAATGAGTGCGCAAATTCGACACTTAACTGTAACGCTTATAGCGTTAGCAAATTGTAACCTATTCATGATACTCAGTCAACCTAACAAGTTCTGCTTACGGTGCAGACACAAAAAAATGAATGAAGTGAGCGGGAATCTACATACACTACAGGAATAGAGAGGAAGGGGAGGGAGAATAACACAAACAACGAACACTCAAGAAGGAAAGGTTGAGTCAGTAAAAGCCTAAGTCCAAAACAGCATACCTCCGAGGACGTCGTTCGCTGGACAGAGAGCGACTTCTTCGCTTTTCGCAGCGCGTAACTTTCTCGCTGCGGAAACCCAGCTCCGCTCCCAAGACGGTATTCAATCCTTCCCCCAGGGGGATATATCCCCCTCCTCTGATTCAATCCTGGGGGGACAAAAAAGGGTTGCGTCATAGGACCGCATACCTCTGTGTTTCTACCTGCCAGACAGTTAGAGCAGCGCTACTACCCTCCACTGATGAAGCACTCTTTTCCCTGAGGGGTCGCGCTGCTCTAACTGTCTGGCAGGTAGAAACACAGAGGTATGCGAGGTCCTATGACGCAACCCTTTTTTGTCCCCCCAGAGGATTGAATGAATCAGAGGAGGGGGATATATCCCCTGGGGGAAGGATTGAATACCGCCCCGGAGAAAGCTTCCCCCTCCATTGATTTTGTCTTACGGCTGGGGGAGGCATGCGTCATAGGACCCACCTTAACGCGTGATCTTGTAGCTACATTTTCCTGTGAAAACATTCATCTCTCTGAGGGGTCACACTTTCTGGAATTTGATACGCAGAGTATGGAAGACGACGCTACCCTGTCCCCCCCCCCAGCCGTAGGATAGGATCAGCGGCGAACCGCGGGAAGGATAGGCGGTGGGCTAATACAGCAGATATATGAACATATACGTAGTGCATTTATTGAAAAAAAAACCGACTTCAACAACCCGTAACTGTACAAATTGAACGTGGTGCTACACTCACGTTCAATTTGAACAGTTAGGGGTTCTTTAAATTCGTTTTTTCCGTAGTCGCACACATTGCGAGATGAGAAAATGAGCGCGTGAGCATCGGAGAACCAGCTTGGAGCTCACTCTAAATGAACCGGGGTGTGGTTCGTTAAGACAGAAAGCGACTCTTCCGCTTTCGCTGCGCGGAACTTTTTCCCAGACTACCATTGTTCAATGCTGGACCAGTTGTTCTCACAGCGTACAAAAGCTTCCTCTTGCGAGAAGCGGAAAAGACATTTCTGTCCTAGCAAACCACCATATTAAGCGGAACCGAAAGGGAATGTAATGGAATTGTGCCCCTCAAACAATTAAGAAGTACGTAGATCTACGTTGACTACGATTCTCAGAACAGAGTAAATGTTTACAAGGGTTGCCTTTGTTTTACATAGGATATAGGTTAGCCGAAGGGGTGACAACGGAACATTTGACGACCAACTTGGCCAAATGGTGGAGTCATAAGAAAACAAATAGCTAACAAAAACAACGTGACCAAGACATCCGCAGGGGGCCGCAACTCATTATACGAGGTAAAGTCACTCCTAATAGCTCCTAAACACACATAAAAACTTAAGGAAGCGCTAGAATCAAATGATTTTGAACACAGAATAAAGCAAGGTCTGAGAAGTTGAAAACAAGAAAAATATAATAAAATTGATGAGCTTACCGAGCAAATCGAGATCTTGTCCGAACCACACCCTAATCCATTCGAAAGCAGAACATCAAACAATATCAGCCATTCTACCTATAAACGATATAACTTAATGAACAAATGAGGACGCTAAACCTGCATTCCAATTCGATCAATTTCTTAACACTTTGCTAGACCACTGGAAGAGTAGATTTTGAAAATGCAAGGTTTTGAAAATGATACAAGAATAATAATCAATATAGATGATTTTAGATTAAGAAGAAATGGGTGCTAACTTAGTTGGGGGGCACGCGGCGGCGCGGCAGTCTGCTCGCCTGGCATGTTCGGAAATCCGTGGGCCAGGGGGAGTGTAGCCAGTCTAGGGGGGTGGGGGGTGGGGGCAGTCACTTGACATGCGTGAAAAGCTGGAATGTTCGAGTTTACACTGTCTCGCTCGAGAGAGCCCAGGTGAGCAGACTGCCGCGCCGCCGCGTGGCCCCCCAACTAAGTTAGCACCAAGAAATTCGGTCATAATGCTGATTTAAAGAAAAAAACAACAAAAAGATTTTGCGCAGCGGTTGTGCGCACTGCTGAATCATCTGATCGGAATAACGCCCAACGACCCTACAAGCAACAATGTGGGCGGCCCTCATTTCATGCACACTCGCCTCGCAGCTGCGGCGAACCCCACAGCTGCGGACAAGCACACAGCTGTGGTACAAGTTGGCCCGTGCATCTCGTGCAGCTTGGCTTGGAAGACCTCTAGCGCCTTTTTTTGGGCGCTTTCGTTGCACGGACTGTTACGCGTTCCGTGATTGTCTGCTGGGGCACTACCTCACAGGACGAAGAGGACCGCTCACACGGATTCTGCCTGGGGTAGGTGTAGGCTTTAAACAATACCGAGCGACCAAAAAGCGGACAACAGTCGATGATTGAACAAAAAGTGCTCCCTGAAAAAACAAAACTCAGTACTCTCTGAAACAATTCCATCAGTTTACACACGTTAATGTGAGGATCCAAAACCAAAATAGAAGCAGATAATCAACACCGAGCTAATGCACTATGAAAAAACCAGTGAAAGGGGAACTTCATGAGGACGAAAACACAGAAGCGAATATGGAGAACAGGCGTGAAGAGCGAACTTATAAGGAATTCGCGCGTCCGAGCCACAATTATGCGCAGCGCGCTTCAAAATTATGCGTATCCTCTTGCCGATCGGACTGGGAGGGGGAGATTCTCCCTGCTATCGGTGGGCGTGACCTGTCCCCGAAAGCTTTCGTGGGGAGCATAGCCTACGGCGCATGGAAGAGCAAACAAACAGAGCGCCACGCTATCGCGTGGGTGTAGAAGTCTTCGTTTCGTTTTTGCTTGCTTTTTGTGTGTTGTTTTTTTCAATGATCAAGATAGCGGTAGAGTGACAGCAGCTGTCCCAATCTGATAATCGGGCGTCATTGTGATCACCCGGCTGAAATTTTAACCTGTGCTTAATCACTGAGTCGATGTTGTGAATCTGAGGGGGACCGTCCTCTCGCAGTGTCTGCCTACTGACTGTCCACTGTCGTCAAGAAATCAAGTTAAGTCTAAATTGTACCTCTCTACCGCCACGCGGTTGCTACCACGAGATTCTTTCTCTACGATCACCAGCAGGAAAATCACCATCATCAACATTGCAATTCATTCCTTACATTTAAAGGTTGTTCACCTGCTCCCTCATCTTCTCGGCTGCCCTTTGGTCATATCGCCGCTCCGTCGTATTACCATCCATGACGCACTGCGCATTTGTAACAAATGAGGAAACCTCATTGAATAGCTACGGGTATAACGTTTAGTTCGGATCGGTTCTACTTTTTTTTTAGCTATTATTGATATTTTTACTGGGTCCTGTTCAATACGGAGTCTTACAATTGCAAGCAAGGATTGAACGAGCTGAAATCGCTCTAGCAGAAAATAAAAATTCTTTCTCGCTGAAATCGCTCTAGCAGAAAATAAAAATTCTTTCTTGCTGAGACAAGAATGGTTTCCGAAGAAAGGCAAAGAGCAGGGACTTACTCGGCGATTGTACGACATTCCGACAGGTGACGAACTTCAATGGTAAATTTTAGAGATGGGTGACGTTGGAACCACATAAGCCATTCTGTGGGTGCAAAGGCCTACGGAAGAGCACCCTTCGAACATCAGAGACACAGACAGAGCTGTGATCCGCTTACACTTCCACCAATCCGATGAATATCTTTCTCAGCAAAATGGGAGGTGGGTTTGAACACAACAATGAGTAGGGTGGCCATATCTCTGGAATCACGTCTATTTATACCTGTTCCCGATAAGAAACGGAAAAACGTGTCCAGCTTCTTTGCCAGATGCTCTTAATAATGAAAAGGCACTCCTAAAAAACACGACAGAGTAGTCAGCGCTTAAATACCCAACCTACAAAGGGAACCGAATCTCCGCACTGCCGTAACATGCTACACAGTAAATCACAACAATTCTATCAGCAGATGCTTGCTAGGCATACAGGGAAGCTTCTGCTAACAAATCTGTGTCCTACTCTCAAATACGGCTGTTATATATGAAGACTATGAGATGAATTCTGCGGTCAATCACTTCTACAAATGCATTTTCGAAGTACTAGATTGCGCGAACTATAACATCAAATGAGCAAACAGAGGAGATGAAGCACAACAAAATCTCTGCACCGTAGCTCCGCAGAGTATCCGCAGGACTTTTACTTTTACAGTCCATTCAAACTGGTACTTGTAAATGGTAGTACATTCGCCAAAATTCCAAACACTTTGCTTTGCAACCAGTAGAGAACGAGCATGTTCAAGCTATGCACTCTCACAGCGTATTTCCAATTGAACGCCTCTGCTCAGTTTCGCCGGTACATCGCGCCGCAATACCCGCTTGACGTTAGAAATTTCTATTACTACCGAATTCCGGATTTCCTTGCATTCCAATGCAACCAAAAGTGGAAACCAAAGAGATGGTGGCAAGGAAATTGTAAGGATGTACATCGTTTCGCCAAGGCACACAGAACGACCTAGTCTATGAATTCTGCTGTTGAACACAAAAGGACCCACATTCGCTAATGCAGCGAATGATGCTTGATTTCTAGGCGACGACACGTATTGCGACGAAGCCTCTCCGAAGCAGTGCAGTGTCAGTCAGCTGCAACTATCAGAAGCATCTCTGCAG